TTCATGTACTTTACTAAGATCAAATCGAGGATGATCCTATTGTCAACCGAACTGTGAGTATGTGTCATATCTATATTAGTAGAAACAGTTCATTTCTATTGAATATGTTTTCTGTAAATACATTCGTGTACTTTAATTTGTTATATGAATTATTAATTATTTATGTCATGTTGATGTGCGAGTATATATGTTAAATGAATTAATTTTGGCTGATTCTGTTTTCCAATTAATAGGTGTTATTTGAAATATTTCTTACTAGTCCTAATATGATAATCCCTTAAATTTGGGTCAAGTGAATCATTTGTTTTATCATTACACGCATTTCGGTTTCCACTAAACAATCAATAGTAAATGGACAATAACTTGCTCAATAAAAATCCAATTGATAGGAGTATTGAATCTTTAGAAACTAGACAGATAGTGATTTAATTTGATATATTATACGCTTAATTTGGATAACTATAGCCCCACTGCCGAACCATTCCTTTCATCATCACACACATTTCGGTTTCCACTGAACAGTCAGTAGTAAATTGACCATAACTTGCTCAATAAAAATCCAATTGATGAGAGGTTTGCATTTTTAGAAAACAGACAGATAAGACTTTAAATTGATATATTATACACTTAATTTGGATAATTGTAACCCCACTGTCAAATAATTCCTTTTATCATTACACACATTTTGGGTTTCCCTGTTTCTCGATTTCCCCTAAATAGTCAGTAGTAAATTAGTCATAACTTGCTCAATAAAAATCCAATTGATGAGCGGTTTGAATATTTGAAAACTAAACAGATATAGCTTTAATTTTATATACTATATGCTTAGTTTGGATAATTTTAGCCCTATTTCCAAACCATTCCTTTTATCATCACACACATTTCAGTTTCCACTAAATAGTCAATAGTAAATTGATCATAACTTGCTTAGTAAAACTCCAATTGATTAGAGGTTTGAATATTTAGAAACTAAATAGATAGGGCTTTAATTTGGTATATTATATGTATAATTTGGATAACTGTAGCCCCACTGCAGAACCATTTATTTTATCATCACACACATTTTGGTTTTCCCTGTTTCTTGATTTCCACTAAACAATCAGAAGTAAATTGATCGTAAGTTACTCAATAAAAATTCAATTGATGAGCGGTTTGAATCTTTGAAAACTAGAAAGATAGAGAGTTAATTTGAGATATTATATGATGAATTTAAATAACGATAGACATGCGACCGAACCATTCATTTTATTATCACACACATAAAACCAATTCAATTTTAGTGATGACAAAGGAAAGCAAATATTAATATGTAGTTTCAAATGTATTTGTTCTATCTTTTTTTGTTGATATTTTTTTACGCTATATACATATATTGAAAACAGACTGTTGATGGATATAACAAATTTTATTTGTATCACAAATATCAACTGATGTTTGTTGCCGAACCATGTAGCTTTAGTAAACCATTTATAATATGCTGAACCATTATTATTATCCTTAAAGGAAAACAAATATTGATATGTAGTTTTAATTGTAATTGTTCTATCTCTTTTTGTTAATATCTTTTTATGTTACATACATATATCATGAAAAGAGATTGTTGTTAAATATAACTAATTTCATTTATTTAACACAAGCATTTTGGCTCCCACTGAATAATCAGTAGTAAATTGACCATAACTTGCTCAATAAAAATCCAATTGATGAGAGGATTGAATCTTTAGAAACTAGACAGACGGTGCTTTAATTTGATTTATTATACGCTTAATTTGGATAATTGTAACCCCATTTCCAAATCATTTTTTTCATCATCACACACATTTTGACTTCCACTAAACAGTCAGTAGTTAATTGACCAGAACTTGTTCAATAAAAATCCAATTAATGAGAGGTTTGCATCTTTAAAAACTAGATAGACAGGGCTTTAAATTGATATATTATATGCTTAATTTTTATAACTATAACCCTGCTTCCGAACCATTTCTTTTATCATCATACGCATTTCGGTTTTTCCTGTTTCTCGATTTCCACTAAACAATTAGTAGTAAATTAGTCGTAACTTGCTCAATAAAAATCAAATTGATGATCGGTTTGAATCTTTAAAAACTAGACAGATAGGGCTTAAATTGGATATATTATACGCTTAATTTAGATAACTATAGCCCCACTATCAAACCATTTATTTTATCATCACACACATTTCGGTTTCCACAGAACGATCAGAAGTAAATTGATCATAACTTGCTCAATAAAACTCTAATTGACGAGAGGTTTGAATCTTTAAAAACTAAACATATAGCGCTTCAATTTGGTATATTATACGCTTAATTTGGATAACTTTAGTGCCACTTCCGAACCATTCCTTTTATCATCACACATTTCAGTTTTCACTGAACAGTCAGTAGTAAATTGGCCATAACTTGCTCAATAAAACTTCAATTGATGACAGGTTTGAATATTTAGAAACTAGACAGATAGGTCTTTAATTTGATATATTATACGCTCAATTAGGATAAATTTAGCCCTACTTCCGAATCATTCTTTTATCATCACACACATTTTGGTTTCTCCTGTTTCTCAATTTATACTGAATAATTAATAGTAAATTGGTCATAACTTGCTCAATAAAAACCCAATTGATTAGTGGTTTGAATCATTGAAAACTAGAAAGATAGAGCTTTAAATTGATATATTATACGATGAATTTGTATAACTATAGACCTACTTCCGAACCATTCATTTTATTATCACACACATAAAGCCAATTCAATTTTAGTGATGACAAAGGAAAACAAATATTGATATACAGTTTTAATTGTATTTGTTCTACCTCTTTTTGTTCATTTTTTTTTATGGTATATCGAAAATAAGTTGTTGCTGAATATAACAAATTTTATTTGTATCACAAATATCATCTGATGTTTGTTGTCGAACCATGTAGCTTTGGTAAACCATTTATAATATGCCGAACCATTATTATTATCCCTAAAAGAAAACAAATATTGATATATAATTTTAATTATAATTGTTCTATGTCTTTTTGTTGATATCTTTTTATATTACATACATATATCATGAAAAAAGTTTATTGCTGAATATAACTAATTTCATTTATTTAACAAATATCAGCTGATGTTTGATGTTGAATCATGTAGCTTTAGTAAACCATTCATTTTATCATCACACACATTTAGGTTTCCACTGAACAATCAGTAGTAAATTGACCATAACTTGCTCAATAAAACTCCAATTCATGAGAGGTTTGAATCTTTAGAAACTGGACAAATATGCCTTTAATTAGATATATTATATGCTTAATTTGGATAAATGTAGCCCCACTATCTAACAATTCCTTTTATCATCACACACATTTCGGTTTCCACAGAACAGTTAGAAATAAATTGATCATAACTTACTCAATAAAACTCTAATTGATGAGAGGTTTGAATCTTTAGAAACTACATATAAGGCTTTAATTTGGTATATTATACTCTTAATTTGGATAACTATCGCCCTATTTCCGAACCATTCATTTTATCATCGCACATTTTGGTTTATACTAAATAGTCAGTAGTAAATTGACCATAACTTGCTCAATAAAAATCCAATTGATGAGAAGTTTGAATCTTTAGAAACTAGACAGCTAGAGCTTTAATTTGATATATTATAAGCTTAATTTGGATAACTGTAGCCCAACTATCAAACCATTCCTTTTATTATCACACAAATTTTTGTTTCCCCTGTTTCTCGATTTTCACTAAACAGTTAGTAGTAAATTAGTCATAACTTGCCCAATAAAAGTCTAATTGATGAGCGGTTTGAATATTTGAAAACTAGAAAGATAGGGATTTAATTTAATATATTATACGATGAATTAGGATAACTATAGACCTGCTGCTGAACCATTCATTTTATCATCACACACATAAAACAAATTCAATTTTAGTGATGATAAAGGAAAACAAATATTGATATGTAGTTTTAATTGTATTTGTTCTCTTTTTTTGTTGATTTTTGGATTGATTTTGTTGTTTGATTTGTGGATTTTACAATTATCTTCTTTTGCTTTAGATGGTGGTTAATTCTAATTGCAGCAAATAGATTTGTGTCACATGACCTTTAGCTTCATAGCTTCTTCAATGCTTCAATTAAGTTGCCTTCAGATTATACTATTGGAGTTATTGTTGCTTTCTATGTGAGTTCTCTTCTCAACACTCTTAATTTTTTTTAATTTCTAAAATAATAATAATACAAATATTTCATTTTCTCTTCTCAAAAATCAAAATTAGTTTATTAACATAACTTTGTATATATATAAAATTTTATCTTAACATAACTTTGTATATATATAAAATTTATATAATTTAACAATTATTATGTCTTAATCTAATTAGTTTATTTTGTTAGAATAAATTTGTTCACAATCTATTTCAAAAGCATTGAATAAACATAACCGTGCAATTCACGGGCCCATGTCTAGTTTAAATATAATCTCAAATATTTAGATAAATTAATCGAAGAACTTAAAATTTGTGTGAATAATGTAGAGCTCTTAAACTTACAATTTAGTATTTCTATGCATTTTACAAATAAGAGTACCTTAAGACCAAAACTAAAATCTAAATAATATGATATCAGTAGTAGAAATTATTATTTCCACGGCATCACCTTTTTCGCCATGCCAAAGGAAGTTGAAATAGAGCCTTTCTCGGCGCACTAAAGAACATAGGAATACGTCATCTATTCCAATGCATCCAGACAATGAAATAAAATTACAAATTAATTTATATATTACTAAGAAAGTATTTATATCATCTTATTCAAATTTCAAACAGAAAATATATAGAATTTGTTACTCATGTTTTATCATTCGGAATAATTTATTCCCCATTTATAAAACCCTGTTAAGAACATCTTCCAATTATTAGAATATTTAAATCTAATATGACTATGTTTATATTTATTACAAGATTTATACTATTTATATAGGATAACTCTTCAATAGCTTAGTAATTGAGAATCGAGTAACATAACAACTCTCTTAATTACAATATAAAAACATTTTCCTTTGATAATGATTCCTCTAAACCCAACACAATAACTAAAAATTTTAGATAAGTCCCCATCATCTCATCATCTTCACAATCGCATCCCAACTAAGTACACTCACCACACTTTCCATTTTCACCCATCACTCTCTTCTGTATTCCCCTCCACTCAATCTCACCAACCATTATCATCATCCTATCGTATTCCATTAAAACGTAACCGTTTATTTTTCACATGACAACAATCACTTTTGGCTTTAAAAGAAATCCTATTACAAAACAAAAAGAGTTACTACAACAACAATTTACGTTCAGTCAAAACTATACTTCATGAGCATTTCTTTCTTGCGAATCCGAACTTTTCATTACCCAAATTAAACTCCACGTAAAAATTCTGTAGCTGAAAACTCCCCAGAATTATCGCCGGTCCGGTGCTGCTGGACCCGGGTTCGACCGCATTATCGGTGATAATCATCAAGCAAATGACGCTTTCATTACCATAATATGCAAAATAATTCTCCAATGGTAAAGCCATTTTTGATCCACCTTTAAATTGGAAAGTCAATTTCGGAATATTAACCGATTTATCGCCCGAAATCTTGAAACATGGCCTTACACCGGACTGAATTTCCTCCTTTGATGCTCTGCTATCGTTACCCACTTGTTTTATAAATTCCTCTGCCACCGCATCAAAAACGGGTTTCTCCATGAAAGTGAACGTTGAACCCGAATCCACAATGGTCCCTCCGTTTCCGTCGGATCCGGGCACCAAAAACCGGTACGGAGCCTTCACGTGCCGATTTCCAACAATGACTTTTCGTAAAAGCACGTAATAGTATTCTCCAAAAGCAGAATTAACCCCTGTTGGGTTCTTCAGAAACGGTGTGTATCTCAGATTTGAAGTGGTTGAATTACCCGAAACCGACCCGGTATCCAAAACCAGGTTACTACTCACCGATGTGTCGTCCAATTTGCGAGAAAGTAAACAGTAAGAGAATTTACCCACACCCAGTTGAGACGGCAACGATTCCTTCCCACGACCGAACCCGCCAATGCCGGCGGGTTGTCGGTTTGAGACAATGGAGCATCCGACAAGGAAATCGGGTCGTTTTTTGTTGGGAAATTCTAGAGTTTCAGACAATAGTAATCCAGCTGTAGAACCTAAACCGTATTGCAAAATATAAGGAGGACAAGTTTGGGAACATGCTTGGTCATTCGGGTCACAGTTTTTGCACCTGGCCGCAACTTCTGAACCGAAAATCCATGCACATTTCGGATTGCTACAGCCTATAATCTTCGAAGTAGAAGACTTTTTGGGAATGAAAGTAGAGATATGAGATGGGTTAACGTTGGGGAAAGAACAGCGAGAACAAAGATAATGGGCGGTACATGGGAACCAAACGAGACTACTACCGGTGTCGAAAATAAGAGTCGTTGTTTGAGGAGGAGTGCCGAAGCTGAGAGAAATGGTGTAGCCGCCATAGCTGTGACCGGTTAAAGGAGTTGAAATAGAAGAAGAAGAGTTAGTTTTGGTTTTAATTTGTGATTTCGATTTGAGGTGTTGGGCTCTGGAAAGTGAAGAAATGGCTAATGAGTTGAGGAGTTTATGAGGATCTGAAGAGGCGTGCTTTATTGCTAAAGGAGTGAGTGGGATTGTAATGGTGGTGGTGGTGGTGGCGACGGCGGTGACGGTGGCGGTGGTGAGGAGACAAAGGAGAGGAAGGAGAAAAGAGGGAGCCATGAAATTAGTCATGAGACTGCGTGAGTGAGTGGTGAAAATTATTTGTTTGTTTTCCCGTCGGTTGATTTATAGGAGGGAGGTGGCGATAGATGTATAATTACCTTTAGGTTCCTTTATTTATCCTTTAAATCAGAAAGTAACAATCCAACGCCTAAAATCGGACACTTTAGTGAAGGTAAGGTAACACGTTTATGTGCGATTAAGATGTTACTTTCTGATTCTAAATTTCTAATGGATGATTGTGTAATTTAATCGACATCTCGGGACTTTGATGTTATTATCCTGGGAATGAGACAAGTTGGTAACGGATAGAAAGACTTTGGAATCAGGTTCGATTTGAGAGAAATATATTCGGCTTTTGACATGATAAGAAATAGCAAAACATGCCAACACATAGTGTGAAATATTTATCAATCAAGTTCTTTTTATTAACTATTATATCTATAACTACCAACTTGTAACAGTCAACTTTTGGATTTGTAACATGTATAACGTGATCTAATTTTGATTGGGGTATAAACTATTTCTATATTACAACAAAGTTATTGATTGCCTACGTATATAGTGATAGTTTGTACGATGAATTTGTAAAATATATTAAATGATGTAAACTTTTACTAAAATGATGAAGATGAGATACAATTTTCTTTTCTTTTCTTTTCATTAATATTAAAGTCTTTTAAGAGTTGATAGCACTCAAATAAGCGTAAAATCAATTTTCTTTTTATATAATTTCTATTGGAGTATATATTCAATGTTTGGACACTAAATATTTTTTTTGATAACTTGGATGTCCAAGCTCGTTTGAACTCATCTCAACTAATCTCTAGGTCTCATTGAATATCTTACTAACTAAATATTTTAAGTAAATCATAAATGTGATAGGTGGCCTCAAAGTGGTTTAAACCTAGAAAGTCAATAAAAAGAGCAAACATTCTTAATCACCAGACTAACTCCTGAAAGCTTTAAGTACTAAATTGGTTACATAATCTATAAATATAAATTTTTTAAAGATATAAAACATTATTTACTCATAAATCCAAGCATTTTTCTCTTATTCTATATATAGATTACGAAAAATTATGATTCATATTAAAACAATTATATATTAAACTCTAGTCTTATTATTTCTACATTTCATAGACTCATAAGGGTGCTAATTATTATTATTTTTTTAAATTATCTACATACAAACTTTTGTGAGTCCATGTCTTCCATGCCAAGACAATCATTTTTATAGTAAATAAATTTTAATCATCGTTCACATTATTGTCTTTGAAACATATGCTTTTATATGTATATTTAACTATTATAATAAATCAACTTATGATTTAAATAAAAAATGGTTTAGCACATCAAACTTGCCCTTTAACGGGGCATTGTCCTCGTTTTCATGGACATTATTATGTGAAAGTGAAAATCGAGAAGATGATATGAAGATTTTATTTTTTGAGGGTAATTTAGTAGTTTACTCAAAGTCCATGGTCAATTGCTTAAGCTGGAAAAGTTATTAAAGGGACGCCGTGATTACCCGGCGGTGGCGAATGGCTTTTAGCCGTTGACAGCTGGAAAGATTTCAATTCTATGACGTGGCGTACGATGTGGTTAAGAGAATAACTCACCTGCTTTTCACCCCACCAAACAATAGTCAAATCTTAATCACCGCTGATTATCATCATCAAGGAGGAGAAAATGGTGGGACCTGTGCATGAAATGATGGGATTAATGAGTTTGTTTGACCGGTGTGAAGCGCAGTTGATTAGCAGTTGAGCACGTGAATTTCACGTGTCGTGAACGTTATGAACGAGCCTAAATTATGTAATAAACAACAATTTGACGCTGAGTTTTTAACACGAAGAAGCATGTGGAAAACAAATTTTCTTGACATGGATATCACAAAAAAAATATATATATATATTTTTTTTAATTAAATAAGTTTATTACTTATATTTTGTTGATATGGTTATCATAAAAATAATAAATATATCATATTAAAATTAGGTTAATATGGATATTATAAAAAATAAAATAGTATACTAAATTAGGTCATCACTTAAATTTAATCTAAATTTATCCATTATTCTTACATATAATTATTTCATTTATTTGATTAAAGGTTTATAAGTAATTAAGTAGGCAGAGTATGGGCTTCAAGTTCAACCGCGGTCGATTCTAGGAAAAATATTTTTTAATTTTTTAAACTTTATCTATATTTATAATTTTTCTTATGTTTTAATTTTTATTTTATACAAAAATCTCTTAAGCAAATAAAAAAAAATATATGAAATTTATTGTACATCTGTTCTCTTTTTTTTTTTTTTTTTTTTTTTCCTCTTTTTAAAAAAATTATTTCTCTTATCTTTCTTATTAATTAGTGCAATTTCTTTGTTTCAAGATCATTAATGGTCTTTTATATATATTTAAAATTTTAATTAGCCCACCCAAAAAATAATAAACGGTTCTGCTCGTGTTCATAAGTTAATGAATCAGCATGACAAACAATTAATTTTAACTTTTATACCAATTATTGAATTAAAATAAATCAATGATTAAAAATTTGTATAAATTATTTATAAAAAAAAAAGAAAGTTAAGTTGATATAATACAAATCGTTAAATGTTTTGTTTTTAATAAGCTTAACATGTAACCTCAATGTACATGTTAACATTTTTTTTAAACATTTTAATTTTTGTTAAAAAAAAAAAAAATTTGTGAAATAAACATTTGGAATGTGTTTTCAAATTATCTCTTAAAAAATTTTAAAATCTTGTTGTTGTCTTTATTTTCTTATAAATCAAATAAACAAAATAGTAGATATAATTTTTAATCGTTTTCTCTATTTTCAAGATTCTTTTGTCGAAACCACAATAATTATATACAAAAACATCCTTTTCTAATTTTCAAAAAAAAAAAAAATCTAATAATTTATTTTTGGTTTGATTGATTAATCGTTGACAGTTTTTTTGTAGCGCAATCCACCAATTAACTTCTATTTATTCATGAACAGCTAAAAATTGGAAGACAATTATATCTTAATATTAAAATAAAATACAAAATAATTATCAATTACATTTATTTTAAATTAACAAATGAAAATTTAGCCTACCCTATCGTCTACCCTCAATTACTGTCTACTGATGCCAACTAATGTTATCTAATATGTATTGAGTAATACTAACCTTACAAAGTGACATATAAAGAGTCATACAAAAAGTTAAATCTAACCTTTGAAATTCATGATTGTCTCTTTCTCTCTCTCTTTGTCCCTTCTTTCAAAAACTAGATTTAATTCTTTGTATGACTCTTTGTAAGGTTAGTATTACTCATATGCATTAACTCTAACTATAGGTGTTGGAAGCCCAGAGTCAGTTGTCAATACTACCCCTTGTGGTTGTATCGTTGATTTGGATTGAAATGATTAGATTGGATTGGATTTTAAATCCCTTTACCAAAAAATTGAGATATATTGGGCCTAAATGGACTAGCATAGACATTTCAGTAGGCCTTCAAATTTCAAAATAATGATTGGTTGGGGCCTTGTGGGCTACTTCAATAATCTCCAAGTGGTGTTATTTTATTTAAGTCTCACCTAAATGGCCGTGAGGGGGAGGAGTGTTGGGTGCTTTGTTTTCCATAATTGTTTCTAAATTATGAGTTTTTGAGAAAGAAAAGAAGTTTAAAAATGTTAGGAAATTAGAGAAGTTAAAAAAAAAAAAAAGAAGCAAAGAAATAAAAAAAAAAATTAGAGAAAGGATAATTTTTTTTTTTTTATCACAGGTTAAATCTAAATGCATTCGTAACTCTTACAACAACATACTTGATACTTCCTCTTTAAATCCTACTCACAATATTTGTTTATTCCAAATCGTTTTCCACTATAATAGTCTTATCCTTTGTTAATAGAAGCTAATAGAAGGGCAAAAGGAGAGTATGGGATGTTGTTTCAAAGTTGTCAAGCAAAAAACCCTTGTTACAGGAAGATAGTCATGAGAGCCTTGTTCAGTATTAGTGTTTTCATGACAAAAGATAAAAGAGAAAATTGAAAAAGATAATAATTACAACTTACTTTATCATGATTATTGTTTTTCATTGATTGAAATTATCTTCTATAACTTCAAAATACATTTAATCTTAAAAACATAATTCTAAACTTGGATTTACGGTTTTATTTGGCTGCGCTTGGTACATATTTTTTAATAGCATTTGTAAAATCCTATTCTGAATACATTTTAGGATAGGATTCTGAGAATATATTTGGTACATTATTCGAAAACATTTTCTGAAATTTTTTAGATTACTTTTTAATCCCTTATATTTGTTAATTTAGCTAAACACCCCCCAAAAATAAAAGTTTATAAATTAACAAAAACACCTCATCCACCCAATCGACTTTTGGCAGCCAACCACCACCATCAAACGGTGGTCGTTAATAGCGCATGACTGGTTGGATTTGATCAGTTGTGCGCCAATCTTGCCTTTTCTAACTAGATCCATTGTGAATTTGGTCGGAAAATGTTAGATCTACGACCAGAAACTTTTTATTATAAAAAGTAATTGTTAAATGTTTTGAGTTGAATATAATAGAAATGGATTTTGAAGAATATTAGAACAAACATATTTTTCATTTTTCAGGATAGGATAGTGAAATAGGATGGGGGAGAAAAGTGTACTAAACATAACCAAAGAATTTTTTTAATACAATCTGCATAGAACTTAAGTAATACATATATTTTTTTAAAGTTATTATTTCGGCTTAGAAAGAGATTGACCGGGGCTTAAATAACACCACTAATTTACATAAGGGAAGTGATTTTTAGCCCCCACTATTTTTGTCTTTAGCCCCTATCTGCAAGTTTAAGAGGCAATATAATTGTAATTGAAAAAAATTATTCATCTTCTTCTTCAATATTTTTACATTTTAGTCATAAAAAATTAAAAAGTAAAATTAAATCAATCAGAATTAACAACAAAACATGAGATGAAAACTATCAATATCATATCATACAATTATGGAT